TTCAGCAGCTGGCCAGCCTGCAGCTCCCGAGAAGCGCGTCCTCGAAGAACCTGTGAAGCCGGCCGAATCTACCATTGAAGCAGCCAAACCCGTGACGCCGCAGCAGACACAAACCGAACGTTTGAACAGAAACAAACTCATTTTTGGTGCTGGCGCCGTATTTTTCGCCTTCTCCCTCCTCGTCACTCGAAGAAGCCTTGCGCGAAAACGGCTGGCCTCCAATCCGGCTTTCTACGCCAATGCCCCGGCACACCAGGCGGAACAAGCGAAAAAAGTCAACGGTGCCATGGAAGCAGTCGAAGCATTGAACATCGCGACGATCAACGTCCTCAGTCTGTCAATGATGGTCACGGGAGGAGCTATGTGGTATTTCGACATCAACAGTCTGGCAGAGGCGCGCAGGAAGATAAGAGGTGGGCTGGGCGTCGACGGGACGGGCAAGTCGGAGAAGGAAGCTGAGGAGGAGTTTGAGGAGTGGATGGCGACCGTGCTGGCGCGCAAGGAAGCGAAAGGACCACGACCTTCGCAGACGAATGAACGAGGCCAGGAGAGGTGATCAGACATGGACGGAAAAAGCATTACCACAAGATCATAATGGACAGGACTTGTGAGAGCTCGACCAAATCTGCGGGCAGCAACGAAGCGCCGCCTCACATTCTCACCGGCAACACTGCGACAGGATGTTTCCTGGCGCTAGGAAACGAGAAAAGACACAGGCCGAATCACGACGATCCCGAAGGTCCATACAGTGCCAAATTTGCCCTACCTAGAAGCTGCCCGAGCAGAAGTGTCCATGGCCACGAGAAACAATTTTTGCGGCGGCGACATTTTCCAGCGAGCGGGCACAGCGCCCGACGAATGTATAATCACCCAGCTTTGATTCAACCTGTGTATTCTCAAATCTCCAAAAAGTATTCAGCAACCTCCCTCATATGACCTTCTTTTATGCCTCATAGCTCGAGGAAATGTAGATATTCTACATATGTACGAGGCATGTACATAGACACCCGGCCCAGAAGACTGCTTGTCAGCAGAAGATGTGGATCACACATCCACTCCAGCACAGAGTGAGCCCATTGATTCCAGTGGACTTTGGCCAGCTTGTCCGAAGAAGCCTTCGGTGTCTTTTGGATAGGTTGCGCGGGCAATGGGGATTTTTGGTCGCTGGGTAGTTGTTCGGATGTGAAATAATAAACCCATCCCAAGTTTCGATATTGGGCATAGATGGGCATGTTTTCTTTGTGGTGGGGATTTTTGTGGGGATCAAGATGCATCTCGTTCTTCGGTGATACCTACCCAGGTACGAGGTACTCGTATCTACAAGTAGAAACAGCGAGCACCGAGAGGCGAGCGGATTCGATGTCCGTTTGGATGGTGGATGGCCAGGCCCCCCCGGAACCTGTAGGCGTCATCGATGCAGGTGACGGACAGATCACAGATCTGGCATATACCATCGAGAAGTCTATTTCTCCTGGAACAACGGAAAACCCTGACATGACACCATGCCTGCAACGTTCATTCATATCTTGGTTTCTCGTTAAATGTCCAGAATTCGTCCAGAGCCAATTGTTGCCCCTGGTACGGATCTCTAATGCCACCACCCCTCGAGACAGGAACAGATGCCTCCCCTCCCCCCTCGCGATCACGAAGATGACGAGGAACGACAACCACTCCTTGGTCCCCATGACGGGGATGTCGACAGCGCCAGCAGCAGCCAACACAGCCAGGAGACGCACCGGATCCAGTTCGGCGTGGACGACGAAGAGAACCCCAAAGCTTGGAACGGGAGGAAGAAGCTCCTCAACGTAGGCATCATCTCGCTGATGGCCGTGCTGAGCCCGCTGGCCTCGTCCATGTTCACCCCGGGCATCAGCCAGATCGCCAAAGATCTGGACACGAGCGAGCAGAGCGTCATCGCCACGACGACGGGGTTCGTCATCACCCTTGGCCTGGGCCCTCTGGTCTGGGCGCCCCTGTCCGAGGACTTTGGCCGCAGGGCCCTGTATATCTTCTGTTTCGCCGTCTTTACCCTCCTCCAGGCGGCGTCGGCGTTGAGCCCAAACATCCAGACGCTCATTGCCATGCGCACCGTGTCGGGCTTCTTCGGCAGTGAGTAACCATCGCAAGCAGCACTAGCAGCGTTGAAGGCTGTGGGAAATGCGAGAACAGAAGTGTACTCGGTACTGATGAGGGTGTTGCAGGTGTCGGGATAGCCAACGGAGGCGGGACGATATCGGACATGTATGATCCGTCTGAACGAGCGGGCATCTTTGGCTGGTACCTCCTCGGACCCCTTCTAGGTGACTATACAAGAATCACTCTCTGAAGTCAGTGGAGGTCGCTGACAGCAAGCCCTAGGCCCAACACTTGGACCTCTATTTGGAGGCGTCATTGTCAGTCGCTTGGGATGGAGATGGATATATTGGGTAAGATTGGAGAATGAACAAGAAGTCGAACAGCACAGGGGCTAACAGGTGGTCTCGTTACAGATTCTCACCATCGTCTGTGCCATCAATACTGCAATTGGGTACTTCTTCCTCAAAGAAACGTACGCACCGGTCCTCCTAGGTCGTCGCAAAGCCGATCTGGCCCAACAAGATTCTCAAGGACTGGGGAAGAAGACGAAGTACTACTTCGATGGCGAGGACGAGCGACCACTCTCCCAGAAGCTCCAGGAGAGCATGAAACGGCCGTTCGTTATTTTCGTCCAGCCGATGGTGCTAATCATGAGCATGTACCAAGCCCTGATCTTTGGCACCACGTATAGCATCTACACCAACATGCAGAGCATCTACTCGCAACCACCCTACAGTTTCAGCTCAGAGCAAATTGGCCTCTTGTATCTAGGACCAGGACTGGGATTCCTGACCTCGGTCCGGTTCCTCGTTCCTCGCATCGACACCGTCTTCAACAGACTGACAGAGAAGCATGGTGGGAAGCCGCTCCCTGAGTACCGCTTGCCACTCGCAAATATCGGCAGCGTTCTGATCCCTGTGAGTCTCTTCTGGTTCGCATGGACTGTCCAATTCCGTGCTCACTGGCTTGCGAGCATTGCGGCGACATATTTCTACGGCGTGGGTCAAGTGGTGGTCTTCAATGCCGTTCAGAATTATTACATCGATTCGTTCTCGACGTACGCCGCCTCAGCCATTGCAGGAGGGTCTGTATTCCGGAGTCTGGTAGGCGGTATAGTCCCCCTGTTTGCGCCGCTTCTGTTTGAAAAGCTAGGCTATGGATGGGGGATCAGCTGCTTCGGATTCCTTGCGGTGATGATAGCGCCGAGTCCGTTATTGTTTTATTATTTCGGTGGGCGGGTAAGGGAAAAGTTTCAGATCACATTTTGACCGATGCCTGGGACACAGCGATCTTGGATCGAATTCGAGATGAAGTCATCATGCATGGTGCATGGAGGAACGTCGACCACGAGGGAACCGCTCGGAGGTTTTAGGCGACGAGTGGTTGGGTGAGCCTGGCGGGAGGAGCTCAAACTTTCCGCTGGGCGGCTTCTAGGGGGGACACTAGGCGGTGACTGAGATGTGATTAGGCAGGGAAGCAGGGATTAGGCTGCCTGCAAGAGCCGTTGGCCCCCGGTGCTGGGTCGTGTTAGCGATCGGTTAGCTTCAAGCCCGCGTTGTTGTTCCCCCGTCAACCCTCAAACGGGCCGCATTGTTTATCACTCGCTTCAAAGTCTTGTAATCGCGCATCACATCTTCGCGTAGCCAACTTGTTCTCGTCACCCGGGAAATCTCCATCAGACGAACACACCGCCTGACCCAACGTCCAACGTGGTCCTCTCGCATGCGTCCGTGACCAACACCGTCGCTCATTGCTGATGCTGGCTAAGCGAAGGATGCTGTCTTGGATGCCTGGTGGAAGGTAGGCCTCGGACTTGGGGGAGAGGCGCGTTGATTTCTGCAGGAAAATCTGCCTATCACCGCCTTGGACACTCGAGCTGCAACCCTGATTTGCCCAGTTAGCAAAATTCGAGTGCAGGCCCCAACATCATACCGCTGCTGACCTTCAGTTCCATTGGATATCGGTCGACTTTGTTGTTTTGAAAATCCCCCTCTGGGGCTTCGGACAGTGCGAGGTGTTGAACATGCATGCGAGTAGAAATCCATATTTATCTGGTGCGCGTGCTCCTGCTTGTGCTCCCTCTCGTAGTGTGCAGTAGGCGCCTCTTTGATGGGGAGTGGAAAAAATGGTGGGCAAGCAGGTTACATGGTCCCAGAGTGATTAAAAAGTTGCTCGCTGCATCTCTGGGATTTCTGTTCCTGTGCCCTGCCTCACCACCGTCTACCCACCTTCTGGTAGTCCTGCGCTGTTTCACAGATCTCATCCCCTCCATTGAAAAAAAGGAAGCTCTCCTCTCAGACAAAGGAGAGAAATTCGCCGATTGATTGCCACATCAATCTCTTTCTTCCCCTCCCGTCCACCACCGATTAATTGGACCACCTCCCCTTTGGGCTTATACTCCAGGATCCTGGGTGCCCGCCGGAAAGTTGACCCCGACACCCTCGAGGGCCTTCCCTCCCGTCTTAGCGCCATCACACCTCGACCAGTCCACCTTGTGCAAACTTCCCTGGCCCTGTCGAGTCTTCTCGAGGGCCCAAAGTCAAATCACATCCAGTGCCAGGGCCAGTCACTGCTCTGTTTCCGTACTGCTGCCTCCTATCGTACTTTTCTTCCAGACTCTTTCTCACACCTACCATTCTACTCCAACACGTCAAATCTCGGATTCATTTTTAACCACCCTCGACTGTCACTCCTCCCGAGTCTTGACAGTAACGATACCGTCAATAACGAGCCTGTTTTCTCACGCATCGGCGCCTCTTCGGTCTCTCACCACACCTCGATCCCGTTCCCCCGTCACTGGAACTGCAGCCCGCGCAGTCCAGCTGTTAATATGAAAAAGAAGGCCCTAGCACAGTTACCACGGACGACGCAATTGTGCTTGGAAAGGTAGACAAAAATTCGAATCATCAGAGGGCTCTGCTCTCATGGAGCCCCCTCCGCCGCCGCCACCGCCGCATGGCACAAATCCACAAAGCGGTGGCAGGTCTGGAGGTCTCCCTGATGGCAAATACGACATTTTTGTCATCCCTCCACATTCCTCGGGCTCGGGCTTCCTCTACCTCCCTTCGCTGCAGACACACCGCAACTCCTTTTTGGCTGGAGCCTTGTGTACCGCAGCCTCCTTCTTCATCTACTACACCGCCGTACCCGTTGTCAAAGAATGGCTAGTGAGCACCATCAACAGTGGCGGGACTGGCGTTTTCACGCTCATCTGTGGTGTCGCGATTGTAGCGTGGGCATTTGGCAAGACCCAAAGTGAATGGCAAAATTACACTGGATTTAATCGTGGAGGGTCTAATGCGAGTTCAGGTGGTCCAAGTGGTCCAGGCCATAATGGTTACGGCAACACTGGATCTTACACGCAACCAGGGCCTCAACCGAGTGCTCAATCCCCTCCCCCTCCTCCCCCTCAGCCTCATCCTCCCCCTCCGCCTAATCATGGCACGAGCAGCCCTCCTCCACAATCATCATGGCAGAGGCCACCCCCCCAAGCCAATACCAAAGCCAATACCACCAGCGCTAAGTCAAGCTGGGAGAAAGCGCGAGAAGAGACAAGGAAAAGAGAAGAGGAGCGCAAACGGGCCGAGGAACTGAAAAAGCGCAGGGAGGAATTGGAGAAGGAAAGACAGAAACAGAAAGACGAGCTGGAGAAGGAACGACAGAGGCAGGAACAACTAGAAAAGGACCGTCAGAGGGAGAAAGAAGAGCTCGAGAAGGAGCTCCAGAGACAGAAAGATCAGCTAGAAAGGGAGCGACTGAAGCTGAGAGAAAAGGAACTGCTTGAGAGACTTGAACGCGAACGCAGGGAGAAGAAAGAGCGTGAGGAGAAGGAGGCGGCCGCAAAAGCTGAAGCTGCTGCTGCTGAAAAGGCGAAAAGGGAGCAGGCTGCTCGAAGTCCTCCCAAGCGTCCACCCATGCCAACCGCGACCACGGAACGAGACGATGACGCATACTCATTCAGACCATATGACCGACCCAAACGAACGCACAAGGCCAATTCTGCGGCTTCGATGTACTCCGAGTCATCTTACGCCCCGTCAGAGAGCACCGCCAAAACCACGCCACCTCCCTCGATGCGCGGACCGTATTCGACCAAAGACCCTGATAAGATCATCATCAAGGGCGTCTTCTCCTTCAACAATGCATTTATGCGAACCCCAATTTCCCAACTGATATCTGGACAAGGTAATGTCACCGACGGATTGATCTTGCGTATCACGACCGAAGGCCTATTCATCGACGACGACGTACGAGGAGTGCCGCAACGTGAGTGGGATGTCAAGGCTTGGACGATGAAGCTGGCAGAGGTATGGTGTCCCCATTTTCTTTCCCCTGAAGGCATGGTCACGGGTCCCCCTAAACGGAAATTTCCCCTTGGTTTCGGTTTCAGCGTCGACTCGAGGAGGGACTCTCCGTCGCCTTCGCAGAATGAATCTGTCGTTTTTCTCAGTAAACTATTGGACGTTTGCAAAAGCGGGTGCAAGAAAGCAACCCGATCTCGATGTCCAAGTGGTGTCCCACTTTCTTCTTCGTCGACCCCTGTTACCGCGACCACCAGATCAACCACCTCAACCTTTACTGACTCTTCACTCACACAGAGCTGCGAACTCTCCGGTCTCCACGTCCTTCGCGCGAGCATCCGCGACCAAGAAGGCAAGAAATACGTCTTCATCTTGTCCCAATCCGAGGGCTGGAAAGTTGCTGTTGGTCTTCAGCGATTGAGGAGGGGAACGCAAGTGCGTGCCCTGGGCGTCGCTGGATTGCCGATGAACGAAGCGAAGGCGATTCTAGAGAACCTTGGGTTTATCTAGAGCCGGACGATTGGTAAATCAAAGTTGATGGATTGCAGTCTTCGCTGGCAGAGGAAGACGGGAATGTCGACTGTGAAAGAGAGACATCGATTGATTTGACGAGCGTGCATGTTGTGATTTCGTCCAAAAGCTCTCTGCACAGTGTTGGATATGCTTCGGTCAGTGAAACTTGAGAGTTATCAGCGAAGATCGATTGAGCGAGATTAGCGAGTCGAGTTCCAAATGCATCAGCGAGGGAGTTCAGATCGGATCTTGGAACTGTACATTCATTCAAATGCAGATATCCCCCACTAGTATCGTTGTTGGATAGTGAAAGCTCAGCCTTGAGGTTTGGTTGCTCGATCGATGTAGTACGTGAGTTAATGTCCCTCATCCTTCTGGAAGGATAAATCCACCTTGGGGCTCTTCGTGAATACACCGTCGCTTGCATCTGGTCATTTTGGACTTTTGTGTTGGGTTTCAGCTCCTTTGAACTCGATGCTTGAGAGTAGGTATATCCCTCCATCACAGTCCAGCGAATTAGCGAAGTTAACTGTCAGTACGAATACGATATCGGTGGCATATGACGTTAGTGGGGAGCTCCAGGCATCGGCTGGGGGCCTTAACCTGCCCTGTGGGAACAGGAGCCACCCAAACAGCACCAAGAACACCACAAGCTTAAGCCCTTAGGACCTATCAATGCCCATCTCCTCCCCGCCGCCCAACGACTTGCAGGAAGTCGGTAACCACTTTGGGGAGCATGCGGTACCTGATAGACAAGAGGGGGCGGCGCAGCTGGGCGCCGTTCCAGGTTTCTTTGGTGTCTGCCTGCGGCGACAACCGAAACACACCTTACAATCACCCCATGGCAAGTCCACGGAGGGGTGGATGATGGTACAAGATAATTCTGATATCAGACTAACGGCGTTCTGACTGTTTTCTCTTATTCCTTCTTCAGGCTCAAAACATCCTTCTCTGAAGGTTCCATCTCCAGACTCAATGCGCTGAGTCGATTCCCCGCTTCTTGCATCAGTTATCCAGCCAGCATTCAGAGTTTCCCGCCATGACTATCCGCAAAAAAAACCCCTCTCGCAACTACGAGACATTCCAAGACGACCCTGACGATAGCATCAGGCAGTCTCCGACATCCTACCACCAAGGAGGGGACGCAGACAAGTCCCGATCCGCTGCAGCGGAGGCTCAACGACTTGGGTCTCAAGGCTCATGGGCTGACAACTTCACAGGCGGTACTCCCGCCACCAACAGAACCCCAGAAGCTTCAACAGTAGACGGTGATGAAGTGAGGGATACCAGGTATTCACACCTTTCGTCGGACGAGGATCCCTCGGATCCACCTCCAATCTACACTCCTTCTGCCAGCACTCAAGTTGGGTCTCAATCGCCTGCAGCACCTGCGTCCCCTGTTGCTGCAAGATCGAACCCCTCTTCAGTTCCTGAGCCAGTAAGCGCTCCTGCTACAGCGTCCTCTTCTTCCAATCCGCAATCATGCCCATGCCCATCTCGAAGCAATGATGAAGAGGAGGGTCCATTGGCATCGGAATCCGACCCGCACCATCGTCATCACAGCCACGATTGTCGCGAGCAAGAAGAAGATACAGACTTCGAGGGCCTGCCTGTTTTCCTACAACATCACCCACAACGGGCCCGGCTATGGTTCCGGGGCCGTGGTAAAGGACGAGGCTGCCGCGGGCGCCGGCAGGCTATGCGGCAATGTGATCGCCACAAACATCGAGCCCGCCGATGCAAACGGCTATGCTTTATCTTCCTTGCACTTATTGCCTGCCTATGGCTTATGATTCCGGGCTTATGTCGGTCGCTCAAGAATGTACTTGGACCTTTTCTTTCCAATCAGTTCTCCTCTCGCGACTAATGTCTGAATTTTTGAACTGCTACTAATACGTTTCTTCGTTGCACAGGACGGACGGTATCAGCTTCCGAGCTTTGGCTCACAACCCTCGCAGACACCGTGGCCACCGCCGAAGCGTGAACATCGTGAACGCGAGACCTTCCGCTCGATCACCGGCACCTACCAGCTCTATGATCTGCTCGATCTCTCGACCACAGCAGGTAGCATTACGGTTACCGTCGAAGTTCAGCCTGGAGATAAACCAGCAGTGCTTCGTCTTTCCACGACAGCAGGCAGTGTCAATGTGAAAATGACTTCTGGAGGTGGTTTCTTCAAGAAACCCTACGTCTCGGACGTTGCGAAATCGAGGACACTGGTGACGGAGATTTCTAGCACCGCTGGCAGTGTCAACGGCAACTTGGTGCATGGCAACGGAGGATCTACTTCCGTTTCCACTAATGCGGGCTCTATCTCGGTCACCATATTTACGGTCGGTGTCTCTGAGATGGATCCGCAATCGAACATCACTACTACCTCTAACCATGGTAGCCAGCACATCAAGATTGTCCCGGACTTGGGCTCGACCGAAGCAATTCGTGCCATCGAAGCGAGCCACACGGTTCGTGGTAGTGGGAGTGCGGTCGTCTCATACCCGCCTCAGTGGGAGGGGATGGTTCATCTTGCGGCCCACGGACACGGGAGCATCGGCGCCAGCGGACCTGGGCTGGAGGTACGAAGAGAGAGCAGCCGTGAATTGTATGGGTACAGAGGGGCTACCCAAGGGAGAAAGGTCGAGGTTGCAGTCATCGGCAATGGAAGCGCGAGGTTCTCGTGCTGAAATAACCAGGATTATGAAATTACCAAGTCCTTCTGACTGGGTGATGCTGTGCATGTGGACTGAAAATGGGGGACGCTCAAGATAGACGTCCCCCTGAGAAGCCGTATGTTGCTGCTTGAGAGAAAGATCTCTGTGAGTGGCCATACATCTGGCATCTCAAAACTGGGACGTGATGTCTCCATTATGTTTTAATATGGGAAGGATATGAATGGAAACACGGGAAGTCTCTGAAGGAAGTTCGAAGGATATATACAACGGGAAACGAAATTAGGTCCGAGGGCGTTTTGCATGGTGTATACGAGGTACCTAGCTACCTATCTACCCAGGTACCATGATCTCAACGATATATTACAATTATTCTTTTCTCAGCATGAAAGAAATCAAAATATCCGCCCACTGGAATGTGTCGTAGTCGTTCGTCAATGATACTCTTACTTCTCCGTACCCTCAAAAGTCCATACTGCGCCATCTAAAGCATACCTTTCTTGGTGGCTCTTCCCCTTCCTCTTTCTGCCATGCCCATTTCTTCATCGCTTTGTCGAACAGCACATGCGTCTCTGCCATTCCATCCATCAATCCATCCACGAAAATGGATGAACCAGATCAAATAGCATCCAAGAACCCCTTGGCCCCCATCTCCCGCTCGGTCCAGTCCCACAGCCTCCGCGCCAGCGCCCCCTCAGGGTCCTGCGCCTGTTTGCTCGGCGTCTTCTGCTCGCCCACAGGCACAAAGTAGTGTCCCGACATGGCGCGGGTGACTTGGACGCCGGCGCTGCCCGCGACGGCCCACAGCGAGTTGTAGCTGCCTTGCTCGGGAGTGATGTAGGCGCCCATGCAGCGCAGGATGGGCGTCAGGGCCGAGCCGCCCCACGCGCGCGAGTTGAGTTGCGTGTCGATGTTGCCGGGGTGGAGGGAGAGGGACCAGATGCGTGCTGGTGGTGAGGTGGCTGCGTTGTCACCGGTGTTGTTGTTGTTGTTATATCGAGCATGCAAGGCGTTGGCGTGGAGGATATTGGCCAGCTTGCTCTGGGCGTAGCGCCGGAATGTGAAGGCGTCTTTGAGCCCCGTGTCGGCGAAGCGGATCCCTTCCTTGAACGTCGCGGCGTGGCCCATCGAACTGACGTTGACGACGCGGACGGAACCCTCCGGTGACGCTCGAGCCGTGGACTCCAGCAGCGGCAGCAGGTGCCACGTCAGGAGCCAGTGCGCAAGGTAGTTGGTCTGCCACTGCGACTCGTAGCCGTCCTCGCTGAGCAGGTACGGCGTGGCCATGATGCCCGCCGAGTTGACTACGCCGTGCAGCCGCGTGCATTCGGCGCGGATGCGACTCGCCCCCGCGACCACCGACCGCAGCGACATCAGGTCCATCACCACCAGGTGGATCCGCCCCGCGACATCGCCTGCCTCCACCTCGGGGTGCGTCTTGTTGATGGCCGCTGCTATCGACGAGATCGCAGCCGCTCCTCTCTCGGCCGATCGCGACGTCAGGTACACGGTCGCCCCGCGCAGAGCTAGGTGGTGCACCGTCCAGCTCCCTATCCCGGCGTTCCCTCCCGTGACCACATACGTGCGTCCTTCCAGCGACGGGAGAGAGTCTGGCGTCCAGTTGAGCTTCGGGGACATAGTTGGAGATCCGAGATTGGTTTAGATGTGAGGAGTTGATATATGATAAGCGTCTGTCAGTGCTGCTTTTTTTTTAGATGGTGCTTTGTGTTATTGTTGTATTTGTTTGCGCCGGGAGTGAATTGCGGTCCATCCTTCTGGACGTCCTGAAGCCCGGTTGTATTTATACGTCGTTTCCATTCCGGTCTACATGAGCTCATTCCGCCCTCAAGCAGATTTGCGCGCACGTTTCCCAGTAAATTCTTCGCGGAAGGACTGTCCTCGGTGACGTATGTGGATGAAACTGAATGAACAAGAAGCATCTCTTAGGAGTCCAGCCTCGTTGCTGACATTGCTCTCCATATGTAGGGAATATTGGAAACATGTTGATCCGATCCGTTTGTCATTCTAATTGGCTTTTAGGGAGAATCCGAGGTTCCACCTGTCAGCGACCTGCGTGAGGTGGATCTAAACCGGCCAATCACATATTGCACGCATTTCAGCGAATGCTGACACACCACATTTGACAATCTGTGTGCCTTTTGCTGGCTGCCTGGCATCAACCTAGACCTGAGCTACCACCGCTGTCCCTTGCAGTCTGGGGCATTGATATTCATGTCAGCAAGCTGCAGATAAAAACGGAGGGTCCGTCCCGGCTGCAACGCATTAGCATCGTCTTTCCAAACCTTGAAACGAGTGCAGGATATACCCCTT